CGGCACCTGTGCTCACGGCCTCTGCGCCCCTCTGTCCTGATTTTCACTTTATTGTTTCCATTATTTCCGTACGTCATTATTTTTTTCACCCAATCTCTGAGCACACGTGTGTCGTTATGGTTTCGTTTTTTCTCCGGCGACCTCCTGTCGCTGTGAGCGTTCGCTGCCCTGACCTGTTCGAAGCCGCACATCGGGCGAGAAAGTTTGGTTTGTTTACTTTCAACACATATTCAAGTAGAATAAGTTACGAAGAGAAAGAATGTCGCGCCTCGTTGAGCAGTTCAGCCCTTGATTTTCCAGTGGACAGCCTCATTGAAAACGGAAAGTTTTAGCCTAGTTCTTCTTAGGGATATGTGACTTGTTCGCTTAGCCTGCTGCATGTGCACCCTTGGATTTACAATAGGAATCATTTAAAATGAAATACAAGTGACGGAGCCCTGGAGCCCCGAGTCCAGCCGTCGTCACCAGCCGTACTACAATTTAGTCAGCGTTTTCACCGTGTGCGAACTAAACACGACGCAGGTGGCGCTGACCGCCTCCAGCGCGGCCCTCGCTGTCACCAGCGCCGCCCCCGCGCCGCCCCCGCGCCGCCCCCGCGCCCAGCGCCGCCCGGGGGGCTGTACAAGCTCAGGTTCCTTTTCCGCTTCGACCAGTGAAAAAGTTTTGTAACGTAATAGAATTGGACTGCACGGATGGAGGGAGGGGGGGAAGAGTTGGAGTTGGGGAAGCACAATCACATCACAATAACAAAGCTCTCAGGTGAGAGGGAGGGGTGACCGGGATTGGGTTTCCTCGCAACAAAGTAGCCGCTCGCGTGGGGCGGCGCGGCGCGGCCAGCGACCACCACACGAGTCCCGTCCCGACAAAAAGTTTCGAGTCTTGCCTCCCACCCATTGTCCAGAACCTCGCCCGCCCCTCGTCACTTGTTTCGTCATCCCCCACCGCTACACATACATCTCCGGAGTTGTTAATTCACCTGACGGGATGCCACGTGCCCATGGAGGGGAGGGGTTAGCGAACGAGTCAACATTTACAAACTATACTGCAGCCAGCCATTAACTCTCTCAGGTCTCTTCCGCTCTTTTCTTAGTGACTTGTTACTCACCCCGGTAGAAACCGAGCGCTTTTGAGGCGCTACTATATCGCGCTTTTAGAAGAAAAAAGAAACCAAAAACCGCGATATTAGCTGGGGTTGGTGTACATTTTTGGATGTAATTCAATGATTAAAGAAGTAAATGCAGCACTGCAAAGATGAATTATTTCATATTGCTAATGGAAAGAGTTGTCTGTAGCTTAAAAATTTTAGTGACCAAGCGCGTAGAAAAAGATCAGTGTTCGGATGAGAGTGGATAAATTTGCTCTCGGGTGTATTCCCCAGAATTTCCTTTCGTATCTATTTTAATAGTTCTTTTAAGTTTAAGCAAGTTAAACTTGTGTTTCGTTTCAAACAGATTTGTCAGCCAAAAATTACGTTTTCGTACACTTGAATGCACAGTGTTCAAAGTGTTCAAAGTAAACCAGAGATTTGTGCAAAAATCAGATTAACTTTGATGTAATTGTACAAGATACAGGTAGTGTGTAAGTTGTGCAGTGCACACGCCGTTCGTTTTAAAGGGTAGCGCTGCCGGAGCCGGGACAGACATAAAGCACGCGGGGACATCGAGTCGTAAACGGACAAACGTGCAGCGTTCATGTATTGGGCGGGGCACGTGCAGGGGCGGCCGTGCGCACAGAACACCCTCCGCCTCGCCCCTCCTCAACCCTTTCGTTGCTCTTTCTATCTCTGTCTCTCTTTACTTCGCTCTATCCCCTCGCGTATTTTTTCGGGACTGCCTTTCCCCTAACACGCACTGTAAATCTTACCGACCTTAGTTGTTAGTTCAAATTGCCAAAATTAAAATTTAAAAACAAGAAAAAGGGGAAATCCTTGAGGAGAAATCTGAGGGGTGTATTGCTTTTTCGCGTGTTTCTGCAATGACATCGAAACTGCCGAAGGCAGTAGTTTTGAACTTTCGCGCATTGCCTTAAACTAAAAACTTCTTTCGCACCTTTGTTTTTCCAGTGCTGAACGGTTTCTAAAGTTGTTTGTTCTTATGTTTTCGTTTTCCCTCCCTCTGTTGCAGGTCACGCGCACCACGGCCACCGCGGTTCTTCGTCGAAGCTGCGACACTCGCGTCACCTGCTGGGCAAGCCCAACACCTCGCCCAGCCACGCCACGGCCGAGCTGTACTCTGACCAAGACTTGGGCTTCGGCGGCACGGCGAGCGAGCGGGTGAGTACGGACGGGGTGGAGAAGACACAACCGACGTGCATAAACTTATTGAGCGCATAAAAGCATGATAACATTTTATGGTCGATTCGGTGTATACACTGATGAAGTAAGTGCTCAACTGCTCAACACTTTCAATTGTGAAACTGCAAGTTAAATACCTACAAGTGTGCAACTAACTGCAATAAGGTAAATACCTGCAAGTTTTCAACTCGGTAGGTGTGCACTTGCAAGTGTGCAACTCCTCGGTTGAGCGCTTCCTAAACAGTGAGCTTGTAATCTACAAAACACTGTAAACTGGTTGGCGTCTATTAACGCCAAAATATTGGCGTCTTCTGACGAACGCCAAATATTGGCGTTCAAAGGCGCCAAATGCCCAAAGAATGCCAAATTTTGGCGTTCAAAGACGCCAATAGTTGGCGTTCTCAGTAGAAGAACGCCAATATTTGGCGTTCTCTGGAGGACGCCAATATTTTGGCGTTAAAAGACGCCAATCAGTTTACAGTGAAGTGTTCAACCAGTTGCACACTTACAGGTGTTGAGCAGTTGAACACTTAGTTTATCAGTGTAAGAAATACAATGGTTCTCATATCGAGGGCATTTGGATATTGATCGAATGAAAACGATTTCCCACTTGATCCAAGTACATTTGAGATGTGGTAGGTAAGTCAGGACACGTTCTTGAACAATAAGCAATAGGCTAAGCTTATTGCCATTGCAGTGTCGACATTCTCACCTCCTCGCACCTCGAGTGGAAACTGCTTTTCATTTAGTCAAATAATGACATTTCCTTGAATCGAGAATTGCCCTTTCGAAGCTACAACGTGTGCTCTTAAAATTGTGTTTGCTAAGACCGTGCGACCGTGCACTTGAATGCATACCGTACCGTGTGTACGGGTCGGGAGAGGGGGAGGTAGGGGAGCCGTCAGTCTACTTCCGGACTCCTTCTCGTGGATGTCACGGCGGCCAGGCGTCTCTCCATCTTACTGTCGCGCCCCCACCCCACCCCCTCTTTCACCTCCCCACATTTTCTTTGCGTCTTTCTCCTGCGGTGGCTGCGTCAAAACTCGACAGGATGCGATGGCAGTTGAACGGGAACGGGGGGAAACCGAGGAGACCATGGCAAGGGAGGGAGAGAGAGGGACGTAGAGAAAAGAAAATGTGGGACGAAAGAATTGCGCCCACGGCGTATTTCTCGGGCTGACGCGCCATTTGGCTGAAACCCCGATTGTTTGGAGCTTGCCCATGACTTATGGCACCCCGCCCCCCTTGTGTTTGATCCTCGCAAAGCGCTTCTCGGAGGTCTGAGCCGGCGGGCTCATGTCGCGCCACTAAAAGTCAATATCGACAGCTTCATAGCGGCTGGGAGCGCGGTATTATATTATTCGAGGCATCGATAATAAAAATACCGCATTTTTCACCCCCGAGACCTGGAGCCGGGTATTATAATACTAGAAGCAGCCCTTTGTATGCGTCCGCTGCAACTGTCCTTCCTCCTGGAGCTCCAGAGAGCGCAGCCAGGACAACGCCTGCGAGGCGGACCCGGCCGCGCCGCACGCCTGGCGGCCGGGTGGCCTATCCGCCCGTGAGCGGGGGCTCCCGGGGCTCGGGCACACGAAGACCTTGACCCGGTCCAGACCGCCTGCGTCAAATGCGTCTTAGAGTAAACCTTCCTTTTCTCTGTCCCCCTCTCTTTCTCTCTCGCTGCCTCTAACTTGAACGAGGAACGTTCCTCTCGCCCTATCTCTCTTTTCTCTTCCTACCCCCCCC